CTAATAACTAAAGAGGCTTTAGAGAATAATCTCTCAGCAGGCACTGAAGTTGCCGGTATTGAAAGAAAATCCCGGGCCATCTTGGATATAATCGGATACTCCGATTCATGCGTCCTCCACCACTGTAGGATGTCTTCCGAACTTGCGGCCCTCGGTTTATTTAGATAATCCTCGAACCTTCATTGTTATTGAAGCGTTGAATACCAGATCCAGATGATGTAGAGGGGCATGCATACAATTTATTAAAATCGATTACGTCTTCGTCTTCATCATATTCACATACTTCATTGTCATGTCTTGGTAATCCTGGAGATCTAGGCACTGCGTGTAGGTTTTTATATTCCTTGGAAAGTTCTTCAAATTTACGCAGGCTTTCAGATTTTAGTTGTTGTCCCCATAGTGTCATATCGAAAGTCTGAGATTTGTGCCTTGGATCTAAAATTAAGGTGGTACAGTAAATCCAGTTGGTCATTCTATAATGCTTAAGCATTTTATTTTGGGCGGCTTGGAAACCCAAAATGAGCCTCTCATCTACTTCGGTTCGATTAGGTTTGTCGTCTAATTGTTTTATCATAGCTTCAATTTTATCAAGCAGAAGATTGAACGACACAATCACTAGCGGTAATGTTACATATTTTTCTCCACCAAGTTTCGTTGTTAGAAGTTTAAAGTTTATCAAAAACTTATATATTTTTTCGAGTATTTTCCAATCAATTTCTGATATTACAAAATTACTCAAATCAGACACAGAAGTGCATATAATATGTTAATGCCAGGTTTTAATTTTAAACATAATCCAATCATATCATGTGTGGAATTCCATCTTGTTGGACAGTCCAGTATGAGACTCAGATTTGTTGACACACCAGCTGTTTCACAAGCCGACTGGAACTTCCTCTTCAACATCTCACTTCTTTTTATTTTACTACAAATACTGCGTAATTTTGTAATAGCCGTACCTACTTGAGTCAGAAATATTTGGCACATATTCTTCAACTTGCTCTTCTTCGTCTTCACACTGCTGTTCTTGTTCTTGACTGTCAGTTTCAAAATTTAACGCTAAGTTATTCAATAAATCTTGTACGCCCAGGTTCAAGATGTGAGCAATGCATCGAAATGTTGATTATCCGAATCAAAATGTGGCAGTAGTTTTCCAAGTTCATACATGAATTTGGTATTTGCAGTTGCGTTGTCGACTGTGATACCCTGAATTTTATCAGCTAAGGTATATTTCAATAGACATTTGTGGAAAATCCTTGCAATATCCATCCCTGTATGTCGACCACTCGATGGAATAAAATCCAGGACTAGAGATCGATACTTCCATTCATTATCTATATAATGAATAGTGACCCCATAGTAACTCCTACCAGCAATTGACGTCCATCCATCAATAGTGAATGACATTTTACGTGAGTATTTTTGTAGTCTACTCTTAACATGCGTATGCAATACTTCAAACCGCTCTTGAACCATCCTTCGAACTGTCGATCTCTTAGGAAATACCAAATTTGGGCATATTATTTGAAAATATTTTTGTGTATCTTCGTCATCGAAAAACGAGAAGGGAAGATATTTCTTGGCAATCCAGTCAACTGTAACTGTCATAAAATCACTATGGCTTTCAGATTCTGACTGAAACAAGATAACAAAACGTGTTAATACTTAATATAACATTTTACAAACACTACCTACTTACGAACCTACTAATTACATTGAATTTTTAACTATATTAAACAAACAAAAAATTGCCTTGACCGGTAATCAAACCCAGAACTTCAATAGGCAAAAAACATGTTGAGGTGACCGCCGAACTTGTCAAAACTTTTCTACCAATCTTATTATGTGCCCTACTAACTTAACTCAATAAATAAGTACGTACCTGAGCTTTAGTGACAAGATTATTTTGACAAGTTTCTATTTAAAAAATATTGCCGCCAAATATACAAACAAAAAACAAGACTTGGATTAGTACCTATAAAAATAATTTAAATTCGAATTTAACACACAACATATCTCGCTTTTTAAAATTGTACCTTAGTAAGTGCATTTCGCAAAAATAATAAATTGGCCAGAAACTAGAGAAAGCTATTTTCTTTCTAAAAGTTGGATATTTACTGAGTTTTAATTTCCTCAAACTTTGTAGGTATAGCCTAGAGAAATCGTTTTAAGAATTCCAATGTAATCGGTTTGTTTACTTCTCAAGAAAAAACGATTGACACTAACTATAAGTATGTAAATTATAAAAAATATTAAGGAGGTGTTATGTTAAATATTATCTTACCTGTTCAATTCTTCCAGTGGTATTAAAAAAAACTTGAAATATCTCTAATTGTTGTCGGTTTTCTTAGAGGTATAAGTTTTTGCGATTCCTTTTCGTGACAAGACAGTAGATGCTTCCTTAAACCCGAAGTGTTTCTGTTTTTAATTTTTATTTCAACTTTTTTCTTTTTAGAAATTGGGCACAACTTGCAGCGAGCCATTTCAGATTTAGGAATTTTTCGAAATACTCATCAAATTTGCTTTTAGAGCACCTAGATGTAACACAACTCTCACTACTCTGACTAGAATCTTCGTCGCTCATGTCAAAAATAATTACTGGTCCGACTCGTAACGAAGCTTAATTGCAAATAAACAAATTTCATATAAAATTTCCTATTTATAGGCACATGCCGAAAAATTGGTACAGAAAAGTTTTAAAACCTTTGATAAAAATAATGTTTCATTTGAAGATTAAAAACAGAAGAGATTTTTTTTGCAAGTTGTTGTACCTAACGTAACAATTCAAGGCACTTTACCAGAATGTACATAAATCATTACGTGTACTGTATGCCTCTTTTGATTGAAAATATACACAAGTACAGTAAACAGTAGGTAGTAAACCTTTTACATGGAATTCTGTAGAAATTGGTATTCCATCAATGAAATAATTTGTTTATGTACAAAAGTTATTAAATAAAGTAAGTAGGTAGTAGTAATAGCGCATATAACACGTAGTTTTGTTTTGTGCTATGAACTGTATACTTAATATTTATACAGTCCAATATAAGAGCACTATAATAATATTTATGATTATTACAACTACAGTAAATTATAATAATATAACCCATCGATCCTTCGCGATGACCAAACCAAGATGTTTGACTACAATCCGAGCGCCTCTGAATTAATTTTACTCTTTGGAATTTCGACGTCTTTTTACAAAAACGCGGTCGCTTTGAGCGATGTCTAAGGTGCCGCGCGCGACACGTGCCGTACCGTCTTATAAGCGCGGTGCGGAGGGCGGTGTCTTTGTGCGCAAATTAACAAATACTTAGCGCTCTTTCGCATAAAAGAGATAAAGCATCAGCAGTTTCAATTTTACGACAATATTGGTAGGTTATAATTTTAGGCATACCTACAATTCGTAAGGACATAACACTCGTTTGACGTAATTGAGAGACCGCAAGACTCTCGCAGACTCGGTCTTGTTCTTGCACAAATCTTGCAGGGTCACTCTTGGTCTTGGTCTTGCTTCAATTAAGTGGTCTTGGTCTCGGTCTCGGTCTTGCAAAACTGCAAGACCAAGACCAAGACTGCAAGACCAAGACTACTTTTGGGCAACACTACTTAATAGCCTAATAGCCTTAAAGGCTTAATAGCCTTTCTATCAATCGATTCATCGATTGTAATAATCGATGAATGGGTATGTTATGGTAGAAAGAAACAGAGATAATTTGAATATTGCGTTTTTTAGAGGACCTTGGTTTTATTAATGGATGTTAAAAGAAAATTGATGTATTTTGTATTTTTTAAATTATGAAGTTTACGAAACTGTGTCACGTTATTATGCACTGAGTTTTAAATAATAGTTTTAATATGAAGTAGTGTATTTTGGTAAAGTAATTCTTAATATTTATTATTCATTAAACGTTCATACACTTATTACATAAATAAAATAATAATAAATTTAATAATTAATTGTAACATAATGATAAAAATATCACATTAATTCATAAATTTACAGTGATATGCCTGAATTTCACAATTTTTTATGTTACGTAATTTGGTTTTATTATGGTACTCAAATGATGTCAAAATTGCGTCAGATATGGGATCGTTTCTCGGTCGCTGGCGAATTGTGCTTTCGAGATGAAAGTCGTCTTTACTACATTTGGCTCCGAATAGAATGGGGAGTGACTTTTTATTTTCGTTAAATAACATCAGCTGATCGAAACTGTACAACGCGAAATTTCCGTAAATAACGGTGTCCGTACTAAAAGAACTTCGCTGATTAGTTTCATACTATTAACTGAATCCGACTTTCAAATATGACTATACCTCTCTGCTACACCCTGTAAAAGATATTTGTATAAGTGCACACTATTTTTTAACCGACTTCAAAAAAGGAGGAGGTTCTCAATTAGACTGTTTTTTTTTTGTATGTATGTTACGCGATAACTCCGATATTTGTGAATCGATTTTCATGATTCTTTATTTGTTGTAAAGGGGGTACTTCCATAGTGGTGCCATTTCATTTTGAAGGATATCATCCACCTCTAAGGGTGGCTGTTCACGTAAGAAGATTCATTTTTATAAATAGCGCCTAAATTTTCTTTAGGAACAATTATTTTAATGGTTGATTTTGCTATTTCTCCAATTCAAGGCGTTTTCTCTCAATATTCTTTGAGTAGTGAGAACTAATTTTTATTACCTCCAGTGTCAAGACCTGTACAGTACAAAATTTAAGGATATTTCAATAAAACTTAGCAAATAGATGTAATTCCACGTACTTTTGAGGTCGGTTTTTTTAGTACTCTGTACTGAGATTTTTTATGTATCCATTACACTATACGACACAAATAAACGCTTAAAAGCAACTGAATAAAATACGTACGTCTGGAGCCCTAACCGAATTTCGGTCGAATGTAAACTAGACACAAAGAAAAACGCGACTCACCAACTCAAAAAATTGCGCTCGTCTGGCCTCACTCTTATTAACAACAAAAGCGTGTCCTTACCAAACATGCTGAGCACGACGCAGCAACAAACACGTATACCGCAGCTCACTGTGAAGTTCTTGGTCATGAAGGCGACCAGCATTAGTCCTAGGCATACAGCAGCTAATATTATCACTGTCAATAATACCTGGCAAAGAGAAAATATAATGAACAAAAATAAATTTGAAGAGTAGTGTTATTATTTTCTTTAAATTTATTTAAGATATTTATAACTTTATTTTGAACGTTAAAACCTAGCAACAATGGTGGTGAGACAATAGCTTATCTCTCGACCCGGAAAGAAAAAATAAAGACCGTTTCTTAACTCTTGGCATCACGCATTGTATACATCTCTACAGAAGTCCTACGAACAACAACATTTGTTCCATTATTTTTGAAAATTTATTTTACTTTCATACAAAAATAAAAATATTTAAATAGATTGCTCTAAACGTTACAACTTTGTGACCACAACACACGCAACAATCACATAGAGACTAAGGGTGATATTCCTATAGGCTATAGCTATAGGCTTCGTGATGAGGCACATATTAAATAAACGTCGAGTGACTAAACTCGACATCAATAAAAATACTACAAAGATTTAAAAAGTATAGTGACTACAGCTATGTTTAATGAAAAGGCAGCCTATTTCAAATACCACGTTAAACAAGTAATGAACCCACATACACTTTGGAAAATATTAAACGTACTGTGATAGACTTCAACAAAACATCCTCAGTTCTACCTTTACATATAGCTAATTTGCAGCTCTTCAATGAGCACTTTCTTAATATGCACTTTCTTAAAATAATTCAAACTTTTTCTATTACTTTGGACATGATATTGCTTACTTTACCACTAACGTTGGGGGTTATAACAGGAATTATAAATCAATCCATACAAACATACAGGAGTCCACACGCAAAATACGCGCCTTGTCGTCGAGTTGCCGATACCAGCCCGTTGCACCAAGTACCAAGTACCAACATACAGGAGTCATTCCAAACATTTGGAAAGAAGCCCTAGTCAAACCTGTACCTAAAGTGAATAATCCTACTGTGGGGTAATTCACATAATCAAACCGTTACGACATCGTAGCGATTTAGTCGTTGAACTGCTTTTTAGGATTCACGTGTGACAGTCGAATGTCAACGAGTCCACTTTTAAAGTCGTTTGATCTAAATGTCGTTAACGCGCATTCTGGTACATGAATCGAACTTAAATCGATCGACAAGTCATACGTATTCTGCTAAAATTTTGACAGTTCTTTCAATAGATTTTCGACGACTGAATGTCAAATTTTACAATCCAAGATGTCGTTTATTAGTCTTTACGTTTCAATTCTATTCATATCAACGTTCGTTCAAGTGGACCTTGTTCTGCATAAATGAGTTAACCCACAAAATGACAGTTTCGAGATATTGAGCATTAAACATTTTTGGTTACTTTTTGTCTTTACTTATTTAATTAATGAAGTTTACAGGAAATTATATATCAAAAGATTTGTAATGAAATAAGTATTACGATCAGTTTATTATCTTTTTAAGTTAACAAATTTATGATTAATAATTAAATGAAAATGGTTTATGCAAAATTCGATGAATCAACAAAATTATTACTTTATGTGTCAAGTATGGTTATCACATTTTTGCTAAATTCGGAAAAGTACGTATACTCATATGTGTCACTAAGTATGTAAGTGTCACTTAATCCTTGCAAACACTGAGAAATCACATTTTCATAGTGATCATGTATTAAACCAAGTAACAGTAGTTTTATTTTTGTCAGTCAACGTGTTTTGTTTTCAATAATCAATAGCCCTTCTTCTTCTCTTCCAGTAACAATCGGGGGTGCACAAAAGGAGCCTCCCCGCTCGACGTAACATTCCTTACTTTTACGAGATTTGAACGAGACATATGCGTCTTCTATCATATTCTATCTACCCAATACTCGCTACCGTAAATCAGGGTTGGAACCCGCACTTTTTTGTCACGTTTTAGCTACCCACAAAGGCATACAGAGCTCCATTTACCTGATTTCGACTATTACTTTCCGTTCAATATCATCATACTAACCATCTTTTATTAATATAGCCGCGGTCGTATTGCTGGTGATCTTCTTGTGTATCTCACGCACCAATGAGCAGCTGCCATCGAAAACAAGGGGGAAGCAACGGCCGTGAGCTTAGACATCGCTAAGGCTTTTGATCGGGTCTGGCACAAGGCACTTCTATCGAAGCTACCATCTTACGGGCTTCCAAAAGGGCTGTGCACTTGGATCGCTAGCTTCCCGTCTGAGCGGAGCTTAAAAGTAGCTGTGGACGGATTGTGCTCGGACACCATGCTCATTAACACCGACGTTCCGCAAGGATCTGTGCTGTCGCCAACCTTGTTCATCCTGCATATCAACGATATGTTATTAACTAGTAACATTCATTGCTCTACAGATTGCAGTACCAGTGATGCCTATTATACAGGTCGCACAAATATATACCAGCAAGTGGAACAAAACAGATTGCAACTTGTGTCCAAAATCGAGACTTCTTTGGAGCAGGTCTCAGAATGGGACCGACAGAATCTTGTTAAATATAACCCCGCAAAGACACGAGTTCACCGCTAAAAATTTTGTAATAGCGCCTAAGTTACAGAACACCTTTACCCTTTTCTTCTCTCCTATTGGGATACCTGGACTCGACATCACGAACGAAGTCCAGTTCCGGGGTCATTTGGAGAGCAAAGCCAAACTGGCTTCCAAAAAGCTCGGGAGAGCTCAATAGAGCGAAGCAGTATTTCTCACCAGGTTACCGACTTTTGTTGTATAACACACAAGTACGGCACCATATGGAGTATTGCTCGCATCTCTTGGCAAGAGCTCCCAAATACCAGATTGCCCCACTTGACTCCATCCAACGTAGGGCTGTTCATATTGTCGATGGTCACAAACTCGCAGACGGTATGGAGCCTCTTAGCCTATGGAGAGACGTTGGCTCTCTGTGTTTTACTGTCTTTACAATAGGGAGTGCTCTGAGGAACTTTTCGAACTGGTGTTACCGTCTCGTTTTCATCATCACACCTCCCGCCAAAGGAGTAGACTCCATCCCCACATCTTAGATGCCTGGCATCTTGTTTGTTCCTTCCTCGAACCTGCAAAGTGTGAAATGATCTTCTTCCTGAAGTATTTCCTTTACGCTATAACATAGGGTTCTTCAAAAAGCGTGTTTACAGGGCTCTCAAAGGCTGGCAACGCTACCAATCTTGTCCCCATTTTTCCACTTTTATCCCTTTCAATTACCATCACCTTCGTCTTACTCACATTCGCCTTCATTCCTTTTTTTCAGATTGAAATAAACCAAAAGCTTTTAAGCTTCAGTTTTCGCAATAAATATCTTGAAAGGTGCGCCATCCTCCAAATTCTTATTTTACCAGTAAAAGGATTATTCTCATCGCTCAATCCTCAGTTTCAGAATTTATATCATTTTCCGGTCTGTCCATATCATCGACAAAAATTTAAGTATTTACATTTTTAAAACAAGTTGTATGTGTTAAGCGTACTAACTAAATCGTTTCAAACCACATTAATAATAATAATAATAATAATAATCATTTATTTCAGGCAATTTGACCCATATTTATAAATTACAGCAAATACAATAATAATAATAATAATAACGCACACACTCGACACAGCCCCGCACTAGGGAAACCCTGTGTCGCGGGTGCCATGGACACACAAATAGACAATTACAAATTACACCCAAACTCACGAGACAAATAAATGTAGGCCATACAAATATTTCTCCCGGCCCGGGAATCGAACCTGGGACGTCTTCATGGCTGTCCGGCATGGTAACCGTTCGGCCACGGAGGCAGTTTAAATTAATTCATATTCAAATTTTTTTAATTAAGTACAATAAATTAGTGAAAACATTTTGTAAATTAAGGCTAAAAAATACAATAAACTTTTAAAATTGATTACTAATAATTAAAATTGAAACAATGAAAATAAGAATTTCTAAAATTAAATATATAAAACAAAAATAAAAATAAACTAAAATTCAAAGTATTAATAATGAAAATGGAAATTACTATTTACTTACTTACTAAAGCGGGATGCACTGGCATGCAGCTGCAACCACCTGCACGTCATAGGCGAATCCCAGCGCTCGGACAGAGCGCTCAGAATTCCGTTGGTGCTGGCCCGGAAGCGAAACAGTAGTGAAGCGCTCCGTTTGCGTATTATAGCGTAGAAGTCATCAATGTGAGCTTCCGCAAACATGGCGGAGGCGCTACAAAATCTCGGCATTTTCAACAGAACTCTGAGCGCATCGTTGTACTGTACACGCAATGCACTGTACGCCCGCTGCGTAAAGTTAGTCCATAGGCCGCACGCGTAAAAGCTCTGACAATATGCCCTAAAGAGCGTCAGCTTTACTTGTTTTGTACAGCGAGCAAACCTACGGGCCAACATGTTGCAGCGGACGGACAGCGCCCTACGCTCCCTATTAATATCCTCGCAATCACACAAGTCGTCGGTGACCCAGTGGCCCAAATATTTAAATTTACGTACCATATTCAGGGCAATGCCACAAAGAGTAATGGGTACAGAAGAGTAGCATTTGGTACCAGCTTTAAAAATCATACATTCACTTTTTTTTTGAATTGTATCTGAGCCCATGGGCCTCCGCGTACGACTCACAAATGACATTGAAAGACATTTGTGGTTTAACCACACATAACACATTTTTGCGAAATTCCCCCATGAGACGAACCAGATTTTGTGAAAACAATTTTTGATTTAACAATTACTACGATTTTTTAAATATATTACTGAAAAGAATATTCAACTTTATATTATAAGGTATAAGACTGCATTCATAACTCATTTTACGATTTTCTGTGGGTTAACACATTTATACAGAACACGGCCCAAGTGATACGTGGATACCAATTTTGGATAGGACTTCAACGATATTTTGATTGCTTGAACTTACGTGAATCGCACTACTGATCTCAAGGACTTTCGACCTATCAGCATTCTGCCGTTTATGTCGAAAAGGTACTGAAAAGGTACTGTGTATGCAGCTCACTGAATACTTAAATGATAACAACAGTATATTGCGCAGTATATTGGAGACGGAACTATACT